ATTTTTTCAAATTTTTTTACCGGAACCTCTGGGTTCCAGGAACCGTTTTTCATAAAAATAGCGTTTTTTAGCCATAGATGCTATCGCCTTCAATTAAAAAATTTGAAAAAATTCAAGGTTATGTATTTTGACCTGAAAAACAAGAAAAAAATTTTTCCAGATTTTTTAAAGCTTCATATCGCCCTAAAAAAATTATTTTCGTAAAAAAAGGGCGTTTTTCGGCTAAAAACCGCCAGCGCTCTGTCTGAAAAAATCTGAAAAAATTTGAGGTTATGTATTTTGATGTCAAAAATAAGTGGAAAAAAAGATCGGGCTTTGTATTGCATCGTAGCGCCGTATATGAATTTTCAAAATTTTCAATAATTTTTTCTGAAGGCCTGAAGCACTCAAAAAATCTGAAAAAATTCAAGGTTGTTTGGATTGTTAAAAAGTATTTTTGTGAATTTTTTCAGATTTTTTAATTGCTTCAGGCCTTCAGAAAAAATATAGATAGAAAATGGACGTTTATACCGGAAGTGGGGGGTAGGAGGGGGGAGGGGGTCTAAAATTTTGGTTTTGGGTCTTTTTTACCATGTACTATAACATACCAAAAGCGCGTCAAGATCGGTGACATACGAGCGCAGGTTTATTTAAAAAATTCTGAGCCTTACCCAAATATATAAAAACGCCGATAAAGATGTTTCACATCAAAAACTATTTTTGAAGGAAACTTTTTGCCAATTTCTTGACAGTGGTTTTTTTACACAGTCGAGGAAATGAGCGTGTGTTGGGCCGTGAATTTTTGTTTAAACGCTTTTCTCTAAATTTGGAATAATCCACCTCAGTACGCAAATATTAACTTATAGCTGATTAATAATTCATCTCGACTTGACAACAGCACGGATACATCGACCTTTGAAGACGCTTAAAATCAATAGTTTGATAAATAATCATCGCACAGGCTCTAAACAGAAACATGTCTGATATATACTCAGTAGGTCGCCCCCGCGTTGTTTTCCGAATCGTTTCGATCTTTTTCATTCCGACTACTTGTATGTATTTCTCTCGCGGTGTCGCAGCAGAGCCTTGTCCCGATCAAGTTTTGGCACGAAATTTATTTGGTCATAAATTCAGCTTGGCATCGTACTTTGTCATAAGGCGTGCACACACTCGGCTCTTATACGTTCATGCAAATGTATACACGATATTTTCTATCTTTCTCCCTCTTTTCGCGAAATTGGCAGTAAAAAGTTAGGGACAAGTTCGTCGTCTGCTAGCCGCAATCGCATAAAATCGTTCAAACTCTCAACTTGGAACTGGTGCAGGCCGTGCATATGTATATGCTTATTATGTAAGATAATTGTCTGGGCGCATGCATGTATGGGTAATACATAGTTGTGCATGCATCACAACCAATAGATCGACTCGGTTTTGCGGGTATGCAGGCTAGATGTGCGATCGTCGGTCAAAAAAGGTTTCATTCAAACATGCTTTGCATGTTGAGAAGCAATTTTAAAGTTACTATCAAAAGACAAGGAAAACAAAACTGCAATGCTACGAGTGAAGTTCAATTACATAGCCACAAAGAGTTGAAAATCCTGCCATACAGGGTTCGACCTGAGCCCAATAAAATATTTATCTCTCTCTAGGACGTAAAAAATGAGAAACAAAAATACCATAAGCCTAAATTAATTAGATGTTTAAATGATACGAGTCTTAAAAGGCTGTGCGAGGTATCCCACGAGGTTTTGTTTTCGTTTGTCGCTATCGCGAGCTTTTTCGTGAATTTTAAATCCAGTCGAGAGTTGGTTGGTTCGATCAGTTTTAAAATAATTATATTATACACGATTGTAAAAGTACGTAAGCTTTATGAATCACGCGATGAATGACGCCTGAGCACGACACGAACGAATGAAAAACTTGGGCCAACGACGAAGGAATCACGATCTGATCTGTTCGCGGCTTCGTACAGTCGATGCAGGTCATGAGCTCCAAGTACGAGTATACAGATAGTATACAATGTACCAAAAAAGAAAAAATGAACAAAGTAAGGATTGGTGGGTTTTATCGAAAGTTTGAAATCTCAGCTGCGAGCGATGACGTCAAGAATTCGGGCTGCCGCAAAGCCAAGCGCAGTTGCAAGCGGATACGTAACTTTCGAAAAAGCTATGCAATTGAGCGGAGAGACAAGCCTATGGCAAGCACTACCGGTTGCTTTTATGTAGGTCCTACATAGGAAGTATATATATTGCAATGGAAACGCGGCGATGCGCAATGGAGGACAGGATGTATAGGTAAGCAATTGGAATTGCGCAGCAAGAAGAGCAGCACACGCCTACGCGCAATATCAACGCGTGCGTAAATAAACTTTGTTGTATTATTGTTGGTTCAAATGGAGTGAGTTTCACGAGTGAGACGCCGATTAATTCAATCCACCTGTCTGTGATACGAACAAGTTGATGTACCGATAGTCGAAGGCCATCTTGTTGTCACATGCAGCCGTCGAAAACGTAAAACTTGTTGATGAATGTAATAAGCCACGCGCGCTATCTTTTCTTTCTTCTTTCATATTCAGAGCAGACTTGCCGTAATAACTGCAGGCTCGCAATACAAAGTGGATCGATGCATCTTGATTCGGAAATGTCGATGATTGTTTTAAAGCTACGTAAGAACACGCGCTCGCTTCGTTTGTGTGAAATTTCGCGCTTCCGATTGCGGTTAATAATAAGGGAAATTTCCAGCCTCTCTTTGATAACGTTCGATGCGCTCCCTGACGCGAACACCTATTAGACGCTTGGTGTAGCGATAAGGCGCTAAACGAGACTCGTTACAACACAAGTCGTTTTTGCTTCGTGCTCTGTAGGTAATAATAAGATACAAATTTATTGTTTTTCTTTACTCGAACTTTACTTCGAAATAGATACAAGTTCCGCCAAGTAAGTAATTGAAGTAAGCAATTGAATTATGCAGCGTGATATAAGGTAAAAAGCAAGGGTACGTCCAGAACAAATACACGCGCAAACAGGTAACAATAATGATAAGCGATTGGTTTTAGAGCACACTTTGATAGGCCGAGTTTAGTCGAGCTATCATTGAAATTGTATCTTGCGCCACGACTGGGTACTGCTATAATGCACTGTACTAGTGTCTCTACTCGTGCCATTGACAATTCGGCTATATATGTGCATCGCAGTGGCCGTCACACGTGCCACTATGAATGCATAAACCACTGACTTTTTTTCTCTCTCGCACAAACTCATTCGACTTATTCGCACTTAACCCGTAGACGCGTTCTGTATGCTATTATATGTTGTGAATTAAGAGCGGCGTTTTAGATACTTGCGCGTTGCCAAAGGAAAGGTATAAAAAAAACTTCCAAGAGCGGGCGGCATTTAATAAACGACATTGGCGGAGCAGCTGCCACTATCGCATATCGATTGACTCGAAAAAGCCTATGCCGAGGACTATAACTGTGTCGTTGTTTATCTCGGACCATAGCGGAACAAACTCGAGAATTTTTCTAGAACGTCCAATTCGCGTCGATGTAATTTCAAAATGTAGGTTAGAACGTAGAAGGTCTACATTGCATATACATGGCTCATTACAAATTACGCTCGCATGTATAATACATAAACACATAGCTGCAGTCATGCGACTTGATGATATTTTTTCTCCGATACTAAAGCAATTCTATCGAGTGCATTATTGTGCTTCGACTACCGGGCAAGAAGTATTTATTAAATTTACAATAATCGAAACTAATAGTCGACCGTTATTCTTACGAATCATTGCCATTAAGATTCAACACATGCTGGTACCATGATATTAGCAAAAATATCAATCCGACTGATGTGATATTTTGAGCGTTTCTACTGGATAGAACACGTGGTTTTATCGAACTGCAAACATTCGAATTCTCGAATTTTCGAGTTTCAGCTAGGCGTGCGCTTGACGCGCCGCTGAAACCGACATCTATGCGACGTAGACCCATCTTTGTGCTTGTGTCTTTAATGTATCGATAATGTAAAAAAAAGCCAATCGATCCGTTTCCATTGTCATTGCTTATATCAAGGCACTGACATTCAGGAAATTGATCAACAACAACTACATTAATCTTATTTAAATTACTGAATAAAAGAACGTTGTGTTTTGAAAATATCGAATACAAACTTTCGTTCTTGTGGTTCTCTAATTGCATATCTACTGTATCGACGTCGTTAATACATGAAACATGGCATTTAACCATAAAAAAATCTAGTGCTTTTTTTACGACTGGAATTTTTTTACGATCAATCGATGCGGTGTGCACACTCTCGACCGCGCACATAATGTACAAACACAGAGAGATAGATAGGTAGATTTTTTATTGGGCTTAGTGCGAACCCTGCATGCACTTTAGAAAGAGAGAGAGCATGTGAATGCAATTTTGACGTTTGCATAAAAACACAAATACTTATATGCACAAGTATACATTTCGTAAATATCAGACGAGTATAGCATAATTTAGCGAAACGTTCGAGCGTATTCATGACATATTTCTTATATGTTGTCTCAAAAGAGAGAGAATAAGGTAAAAACGAATCGTCGTCATCAAGGTGGAACGCGTGCAAGTGAGAGCAGCGCAGAGAAATCTCGGCTATGTTTATTATTATATATTTTAAAAACGACGGAGACCGAGAAAACAAAGGCAGCTGACATCTTTTTACAATAAGTTTGTGCAGCAGGCGTTTGTTAGGTAAGTAAGTGTGTGTGTGTGTGTAAAAAAGTAAATAGGTGTGCGAGTATGGGAGTGTAACAAAGGATATGTGCATCATGTAATGCGCGTGTGACATCGTCAACTTGGATGCACTCGAAGCTGTTGGCTGTTGTGGTCGTGGAGGCCAAAGACAGCACCTAGCGCAGCTCTTTCTCTAGCTCTTTAATATGCAGGCACACACCGAGGGACAACACGCAACACGGCCGCGAGCATATTATGTACGAATAGTGATCGTGTAAAAAAAGCAATTGTTGGAGCTACTTACGAGTAACTTGTGTCGTGTGTCTGCGTGAGGCAGGTCAACAACGTTGTCAATGTACGCAACGAGCCACTCGAGCTGATTCGATGGCAAGGAACCAAGCGACTTTTCCAGCTATTTCTCCAAAGCTACAACACTTGGTACACACACACAAGCACACGCACTTTATATTCCGAATGAGCAGACCACAGAGAGCTGCACGTACAGAGCGCACAGAGAACAACTGGTGAGCAACGGCAAGAGCAGAAGCAGCGCCTATTAGGCTACAGGCGGAGCGAGCAAGTATGAACACACATTGGGCACACGGACACACGAGCACGGCGATCAATTTACTGGGCGCAGAAAGTTGCTGCTGTTATACGGCTGCGAGAACGAGACGGAGAAAGAATCGCCTGTAGGGGCTTTACGCAGAGGCTGCGCGCGCGACGGCCGATCGAGTTCCTCGTGCGACTGAACTGACTACTGCGCCAGCTGAACCGTCTGCCGAGAGTCTTGTTGGACTGGGTGCCGTTGCTGCGGAGCTTTAGCGCGGAGACTGTCCCTTATACTTCGGACTTTCGGAGCCGTCACATTCGCAGCGCGTACAGCAACACGAAATACGATTATGATACACGCTCCGCGTGCGCCCCTGCAGCGAGCCAGACAAGGATGGAGGCAAACTTCAAAATGGCCGCTTCGCGTTCGTTTCGCGACTTCGTGCGTTCGTCCTCGTTGCTCTCGCAGCTGTGCTGCTTGCCGTTCTAGAGCGCGATCTACCGCGTGCATCGGTGCTGCAGCCTCGCCACAGCCAACCGCCGTCGCATTGCACCTATACTGCGAACTACGAATGCTACGATCGATCGGCGCTCGCCGCTGCGACTTTACCTTATCTATCGGTCAAACAGTCCACAAGACACTCACCTCGACGACGAAGCTCTCCCTGCACCGCCACCCGATAATGTTAATGACCCAAGATATGTATGTACAGTGCGCTACAAACAGATGCATTTTTCGAGTCGTCGTCAAGGGCAGAACGAATACCAGTTTACCGTTTGTTTTTCACGCTTGATAATGATTCGGCCTATTATTGTATCAAGCATTATTGATCAACGCAAGACGTCGAATCTTTCAAAGTGCTCTCTTATTTGTAGCATTTAAAATGTGAATATTCGCTTGAGTATCTACCGATGATACATTTTTCAATCGGTACTGCGGTACGTGAAAAGTGAAATACTCATTTTTTTCGAACGTATTAGGTTTAATACCGAGTACACCTTTTCGATTATCTTCGTATTTCATTGCCTAATCTCATGCAAACCTCGCGTTGATTTATTCATCATCACGATTAGTTTGCTGCTCTCAAAAATATTTACCCGATGTATTTGGTCAATTTTAACGCAAATTGCTGCATAAGCTGCAACTTACCTACTGACTTCAAATTTTAAATCTAGAACCGTACGCGGCTTTCGTTGCCTTAATGAAAAAACATCAATCAACGTGACACAAGTTTAAGACCGTGTCTTATCTCACAGATGTACATCTTATTCATTCTCCTTTTTCTCAATTTTAGTCTAGCAGAAGTAAAAACATACTTGCCCTCCGCATAACCTAGTTCAAGCGCTCATACACTGTTTTTTATTTCAAATCATTCTACAAATGATTATTTAAATCATTCTACAAATGATTTACAAATAATCGATTTATACATAAGATTAATAAATTTTCACGTGTAATCATGCCATTTCGTTACGAGTTGTTAGGATTGTACAAAAATCTCATGCGTTATAGTCAAAATTTAAAATATACAGACAAAAAGTATTTCGTGCATAGAGTTAGAAAAGCTTTTTTAAACAACAGAACTTTGACAGAACAAACTGAAGTAGACTTTCACTATCAGGTATTAAAGATACACTCACGATAATCATATTAAGATTTATTTTTAGTACGTATTTTAACTGTAATATTTTTATTTTAGAAAGGACTGATGCTTCTGAAACATAAAAGAGTGATTTAAAAATGTTCTCTATTATTCAAAGACTCTTAATGCAGCCCATTTCAACTGATTTGATTCGTGCATCAATTGTAACAAGTGCTTGCAATTACAAAAATGTTCCAAAACGTCATTTGGACTTTTCAAAAGTTCCAAAACTTGTAGAGGCTGAATTAGACTTTCAGTATGTGAGAGGCAGTGGTCCAGGAGGCCAAGCAACAAACAAAACAAGCAACTGTGTTGTCTTGAAACATTTACCAACTGGTATTATTGTCAAGTGTCATGATACCAGAAGTGCACTACAGAATAAAGAGCTAGCAAAAATTAAATTAATTGATAAATTAGATTTACTTTATAATGGCGAAGATGCTATTGAAAACCAGAAAAAAAAATTTCTACTTAAAAAAACATTAGAAAAGAAACGACGACAAAGAAAAAGAGCAGAGGAGAAAGCCGAAGCAAAAAGAATCGCAACTTTGACGACACAATCAAGTGAATCAGACAGCAAAGTTGAATAACTTTTTGTATCATTGTGCAAATATGTTAATAATAAACAAAAATTAATAATTTAATGATGTGAGTCAATTTTTTATGGAAAATTCAATTTTCTTTAATAATAATAATTGTGAACCTGTACAATTGACAGAGATTTACAATATTTTCAGGTGTTTTCTTGATTGGAGTACATCTTTAGTACTATTATTTATATAATAATTGGGCTATATGGAGTCAACAATAGTAGTACTAAAAAATTTCTCATTACGAGTTAGATATACATTACATGATACAATTTTACATATGTCTCTGATCCATGATATTTATAACAAATTGGTTACTTTATATGAATAACTATGGTTTGTATTTTATAATTATTATTTATGAGAAAAAAAACACCTTGATTGGAGAATTATTGCAGTACTGCCTTAGCACAAGTATGTATAAGGTTTTGTATAAAAAGTCTTCTACTTAAGATTAAAAATAATTCGTACCATTTATTCCAGTACAAGTTCAAGTATACATAATAGTGAATTAAAACCTTTGGCAATTCTCAAATTTGCAAAAGACTTTAACGGTTTTTTTAATTTACAAGATGCTAAACATGTTTTCGCAGGTTTGACGTAATTCATTCAATTAAATAATAGTAATTTTACTTTAAAAAACTAATACAATAATCAAATTAGGTAAATTTAAGACTAAATACGATAAGCATGTACAATATAAAAAATAGCAACAATGCTGCTATAGAACAAAAAAACTATAAATAATATCAATACTAATTTTTTATTGAATAATAAGGATGTAATTTCATTAAATTCCGAGTGTTTAGAGTTTTTCTGTTCGATATGATAATCGATTACTACACATTACACAAATATTATATTCTGTACAAATGTACAAATAACACACACTATTTTAATAGTCATTTCAGTCGTTTAACAAAGCACGAAGAACTTAATTATCGTTATTTTTCGATTCTCAGCTTCTTCGAGACCACTGCCCAGCGAGCTTCCGTCGTAATCCGGTTTTCGCTCGCTTTCTAGGTGGTTCCATACTTGCTTTTGGCGAGCTAGAGCTTCTTAGTCTACGATTACTGGCTACGGCTACCTGGTCATGACTCATTTTTGTTACTTTAACGAACGGCTGATACCTTTTTTGACCGAGCTCAGCAGGCGATATAGATTGCCTAGTTGATTGTTCGTCAAATTCATCGTTTACATCCGAAGAAACACTGTCGTTTCTTTTACTGTTTTTTCTTTGCCTCTTTAGACCACATTTAGGGCGTTTTGGGCTTGTTTTAGGCGACGATTTTTCCGATTTAATACGATTTCTAGTCTTCTTCGGAGAATATATTTCACTACTTGATTTTGTCTTCGTTTTTTTGGAAGACGAACAATCTTTTTTAATAGAAATATCTGACGTTGCTGTGTTGTTGCGCTTTCGACTTCCTTTTTTCGGACTGGAACAGTCATTGCTCGATGCATAGGTTTCAGAGTCCTCGCTCATATTTATAAGTACTCCAGGCCTATGTTTTGCAGGTGAAACTTGCAGTTCCATTTCGTCATCATCTGTAGTGGCAAATTCTAAAGGATCACCATTTTTTTTATCTAAAGATATGTCTGATAGTACAGGCTTAATATTAGATTCATTTGCAGAATCTCTGACTTTTTCACGTGAATTTTTAGAGCTACTTCTCTTAGATTTCGTTGTTCTACTTTTTGATTTGCCTCTTCTAGAATCAGTTGTGACTTTTTCGTTTTCTTTGTGTTCCATATTTCCAGCCTCCGTTTGAGTCTTTTCTGTTTCTGGTTCTCGTTGAGACAAATCAGAACCCTGTATTTCTAACGTCTCGTTTTTTACCATTGCCTCGTCTAGAGGTTTTGACTGTTCATTTGATAATAATAGTCTAAGTTGCGAGATTTCCTGTTGATTATTTTGTTGCTTCTGGTTTTCTCGCTGAAGTTCTTCACTCAACATTTTTAGTTGAAGCTTGCGCTTCATTTTATTCGTGCCTGGCCAACCAGTTTTGTTTTTACGTTTCTTCCGTCTTTTGTGGGGTTGGTCGAATTCTCCACAGTCTGAACTAGCACAAGACGAACCATCCACGCCGTTCGGAACTGTATCAGGATAGTTTTCAAATATTTCTATCAAATTTACAGGAGGTCCTTTAGGTTCCGAAGAAACGATAGGTTCAGCCGTTTTAACATCAAAAGACATTAGATCATGTTCGAGAAGATCGTTATCAGCATCATCATAATTCAACATATCATCGATACTTTTCACAATTTGTTTTAAATCAGCGTCAACGTCAGATTTTTCTGAAGACTTGGATTTATCAGCTTTCGCAGAATTATTGTTTATCGCTGCTTTAGCTTTGCCATCTTCATCATTGGTCTGTTCTCGCTTTTTAATTATTGTTGACATAATAGCTAAGGTCGAGGCATGGCAGCGTGGACTTTTTCGCGGCAAACGTGAACCAACTACACCACCACGACCTCGGCCACGCTTACGGTGCATGCTATTTTGCAAACTTTTATTAAGTATTTCATGGAAGTTTTCCATTTCGTATGGGAGAAGAAATGGTTTAGGCGTACTGTTATCACTATAATAGTACTCACAACCTTCATCTTGACGTTTGTAGGTTTGATACCATGGCTCAGAACGGGGCACCATTTCGAATGAAAAACGGAGAGCTTCAACCCTTGCCGAGGGCTGGGACGGATAAATTTTGGCGACTGACTCTTCTTGAGTTTCTGTTGCCGTTGTTACAGCTTCCTTTACTTTTTCAACAGGAGTCTCAACAGGCTGACTGACATTGGCAGATGACGTTTGAAATCTGGAAGTAGCATTGCTTTTCAACAATGACGAAAGGTTGACTTATTAATCAAAACATTCGCTAAGTAAATTTGTCACAGGGTTAGTGTAAAAGCTTAATAATAATCTATGATAATGGTAAGAGTTATTTTCACTGAGTGGCAAATTGACTTAATCGTAAATAAAAATAAAATAAAAGATTTAATTAATAAAATTTTGTTTTGAGTATTTACCTCAATCTACTGCCAGGAGTTTCAAATTTGTAGTATTCAGTATTATCTTTAAGAAATGCCTCAGTTTGGGTTCTTCTCTTCTTCCTTGTCTTGTAAGTACTTGTTGTCGAGTCTTGAGAATCATCATCCATGACTTCTTGTTTTAGTGTTACAGGATGAGAAGCAGAAGGTGAGCTCAATACTATAGATTCATTTTGAGGATCGCGTTCACTATCCGTATCTTTAGGTAAGATACTGCTTTCATCTTCACTAATTTCACTGGTTGATTCATCGCGTCGAGGATCGCCAAACATAAACGATTCGGCTTCATCACTCAATAAAGACAGTTCAGACTTTCGTACGCGTTTGAATCGCACAACAACGGGTTTTTCACTTGACGGCTTATCGCCGTCTTTGATTTTCATCTGCTGTTCATTTTCAGTTTGCTCAGCCGATGGCACAGCAGTTAATGGATTTTCGCTAGGCAGTATACTGGAACGAAGTTTATTACCTAATACTTCAACTTTATAGTATCGACGATTGTCTTCGATCAATCTCTCTTCGACTGACAATCTTTGACGACCTCTAAAAGTTTTACCTCCTTTCCTTGAATAAGTTTTTGTTTTTGAACGACCATCTTGTTCAACACTTTTCACAAAATTTGTTTCATAATTTTCGTTAGCAGGATTTTCTTCAACATCATTGTTATCGTTAATGACAAATTCTTCATCAGCTTCAACATGATCAATGACTTCTTTTTTGATAATTTTTTTAAGAGGATCTTCTGAAACATGATCAGCTTCGCTGGGTTTTTGTTTCAATTCTCTCCTTTCAAAGCCATTCAAATTAGTTTTGGTATTGACTTCAAGAACAGTTTCTTTGAGAGCATTTTCTTTGTGAATGTTTTTACAAGAAGGACTATTTTTTTGTTTTGATTCCAGAACCTCTTCAGAATCAATGTTTCCATTAAGAATTTTTTCAACTTGATTGTTACTTTTAGTTGAATTTTTACAGGTCAGAGTTTCACAAGGTTCTTGAAGTACTGATTTTTTACAACCAGTAGACCTAACTTTTTCATTTGCTAGATCATCATCTGAGTCAATTTCTACCCAAATTGTTCCTTTAGAACGTTTTTTTATAACATATTTATCATAGCTTTTCTCATTCTTTTCTTCTCCTTCTGGCTTACCCTTTGACCTCAATAAATGACCACTTTCATGTTTAGTTCTTGCTCTCAAATTATGAGGAGAGTCCAATGTTGAATTTAAATTCCTGCGAGCACCATTGCACTGTGACATTTTTATATCACTAACACTATAATCATGAACTAAAGGATGTTCTCTTTTTTGCGACTTTTCATCCGACGGGAGGAAACCATTTGCGGTGCTATTGTCTCGATTTTCATTGAATGGGCAGTCTTTGCTGAAAAAACGATTGAAATTTACAGTGAGCTTACTTAAACCTTTTAGCCTATTAATGCAGGTTTTTTGAAAATTCATAGTTTAATGGATTTAATGAGTTCATTTGATTTTAGTATTTACCTGGTGGCATCATTCGATTTGTCAAGAAAGGCGTCCAAATGTGTACAATCATCAATTAATTTATCTAAAGCTGCATAGTTTTTAATATTTGTTACAAAGTTACGGTGCTTGTCGCTATTCAGATGTTTTGCTCGAGATTTGAAATCACAGCGACAAATTTCGCAAAACCCTGCATTTTCACATTCAGACGTTTGTTGTACAGTTGTGGCACGGGGCCGACGAGTCATTTCTTTGCTCTTAAATAAAGAAAGAAAAAACCAATGAATGTTTTGGAGTAATTTCAAATTAATTTTTCTACAGAACTGAAAATATACTAACCTTGTCAGCTGGTTCACACTTTGGCTTGGAACTATTTTCTTGAAAAATACAATTTTTACTTGTGCTTAAACAATTACATCTTGTCGAGTGGCAAAGAGGACTTTCTCCAAAGTATGTGTTATCCCAGGACAAATGTGGGAAAGATTGCAATTCAGCAAAGACAGGCCTTGTAGCGCTGTAAGCAGAATGCAAGTGTTATATACTGCACATTCAATAAATAATGTATTTTTTATGATATAAACCTTTTATAAGATTCAATTTTGACGTAATATCCTTTTAACACTTGTTGTTTACAAGTTTTTTTATGTTGAGATGTAGCACTTTTAACCTTATTTTCAACTTTATTCAGCCACTTTTGAAAAGCTTTGGGAGCATAAATTGGTATACCCAAGGTATATGCTTTAGCTAGAGGATCAATAGAACACTGTTGTGGTTGTGTCAGTGCCCGCTCCAACATGGCATCCGCTCTGGAGCGCTAAAATATCCAAAAAGAATTGTTATAACATTTTTACAAGATAAAATTAACCTATAATAAACTGCAGAAAGCTGATCATACAGATTTTGGGGTGGTGAAGCCCTTCTGACTATAAGAGTTTGATAAAGGTCCTTCGATACTGCGATAAGGAGTTTTTGGAGTAGCACTACCTATACTTTTCCAAGATTGAACTCCACCACTTCCACCACTGCAATAGCCGGATGCTTTTATGTCGGGGCCAGTTTTTGCTTCTTTGTCAGTGACCACTACAGACACTTTATCCACGTAAAAACATTCAATAGCCTAAAACAAATATAAACAAAAACTGCTGTTATTATTCTTCAGTAAATGTAAAAAAATATAGCAAAAAAAAAATTAGCAAGCTAAGCATATACATTTTTCACATTCTGACACCAAGCTTTATAAACTGTATAGCAAAGTCAGCAAAATCAACACAATTTTTGCCTGAAATGAATTTTACCTTAATTTTTTGTAGAGTCTCAAAATTTATATAAAATTAATTAAATTCTATGGACGATTTGTGTTTGGATAAGAAGATAGCTCAGAGAGTGAGAGCAATAACAAAAGTCAAGGATAAAAATAGTACTTTTAGCAACAGGATATAGTCAGAATGGATATACAAAAAAGAATGAAAGAGAAAGAGAGGGCAGATGGCCGTGCGCGTCCACTACTGTACTGTAGGATGCTGAAGAAAAGAGGAAAGCTACTGAGTATATATACCCGCGCCCGTTTCTTTTTCGCTCGTTCTTGCTCTCCATCATAATCGTTGTCCAAAGCAAACACACAACAGTGCACCGCGCTATTCTACTCAGCCAACGCACTTAAGCCGAAGTAGTTGAGCGTTTTCTCTTTGCAATCGTCAGCAAGGAGCCTGGCGCGCTGGCGACATGTCATGATTGGAAAATTTGCGAATTGTTGGTTTATTTGCCACACGACGGTGACAACAACAAGCAGGCGTGCGTATAGAAAAACACGACGACGACGGCGGCGGCGGCGACGGCGACGACGGCGACGACGACGACAACTCGATGTGCTACTGCTGAATCTACTGCTACTTCAGCCGTGTGGTGTTGGTGTTGTTACACATTTCCCAAACTGTATATATACATTGTGCATCTCTCTAAAACTTGGCGGTGGCGCGCGCGCGCCACTTTGTGTGTGTGCGTTCGCTTGATGTGTCAGTGTGTATGCCTGTTTATACTGTTCCGCAGCCTATGTGTGTACGTGTGCGATTGTATATACGCGCGCTCTCTCTTTCTCTCTCTCGCGCGCGCGCGTCTGTGTGGGCCGGGTATGTGTAATGTGGGTCCGTGTATGCACTCATACACGTCGCTGTATACATACGTCGGTGCATTTACGTACTGCACCGCGATCATGAGTATACACACGAGTACACGTACTCGTACACAGAGACGGCAGCGGTACTGCGTGTGTGTATGTGTACCCTATACATATTCTCGCGCATACGGACGAGGAGAAAAGGAGGAACGCCGAACGATGGAGGTGGTACGCGCCAAGCTCCGAAGGGAACGAGAGAGTCGTGAACTGTCACGCACAAAATGGCCATATTAGCCCGTTACGTTGCGCGAGCCTGCGAGGCCGTATAACATAGCGAAGCACGAGTATATATCGCAACACAATGCATCGTGCCGAGTTGTGCACTCGCAGAGTGCGACATTCGCGCTTATTCGTTCGTGGCTCGGGAGCTTCGCGATAGACGGTGCCCTCTCGGCCGGACGAGAAAAATTGCTTCGAGTTGACCGCGTCGAGCAAACAATGCCTCGTGCTTTTTTCAAGTTCCAATCCAAGTTGAAGATCCTCGATTCGGAGACGGTTCGAAGCTTTGTAATTACTGCCGCGTCCATCTGGCGGCGCTGAGATCTAACGCGGCGTATCGTTCTCTGCTGCTTCGCCTCTGTCACTGTGTTTGTCAACAAAGCCCGCCAGCTCGGTGTGTTATTCTCTATACATATTATATAGATATACATGAGCGATATCGAGCGAGCATGGCACTGAATTATCGCCGATGCCACTAATAATAATAAAATCCCCTCATGCACAACGAAAATTTTTGATAATATATACTACGAAAAATTTACGGCTTTATTCGAGTCTAGATAACTTTTGCACAGTTCTGGCGCGAGCCTGTGAGACTCGTAAGAGCCACGAACCGGGCGAAGGTAGCTTCGTAAATGATATCTTCATGGATCAAGTCGAGGGCGATGACACACAATTTATCAGCCAGTTTGAATTCGAAAAGGAGGGCCTCACGCGAAGATGCTCGAATTAGCGTGACAATTTTAGTGTCGCATCAAATTGCCTACATCTATAGCGATCGCGGCATCAGCCCGTTAATACTGTCGCTGCGCGTCTAAGCGCTCAGACTATAATACCACATTGTTTTTAATTTAAAAAAATCACCGTTTGAAATGACAGAAAAAAAATTGCATTATCGAAAGTCGTGGGTGAATGTATGTGAAAGGGCGTAGCCCCCCTAGCAAGCACAGCATGTGCATGTCACAGTTCTCCAGTTATGTGTGCGCTGGCGAGCGAATATAGGTAGGACGTGCGTGATGCATGTGCCTGCTGCAGCGCAGTTCAACATCTCTCTTTTACGTCGAACACAGACCCACATTACTCCTACTCCGGTTGTTGCTCCACCTCTCGCTGTCTCGTTTGCCCGCTCTACAGTCTCTCCTGTAGTCCTATGTCTTTTTCACTCGCACTTGGTTATGTGTATACACGTATATATTTACACTATATTCATTGACAGAAAATACAAAACCTAGCCGTTTCACGCGCGCTTTACTCCAAACTGACAGACGTAAAATGAGTTACACGCTTGCACGTCCGTACCATAAGCAATTGCTATCGAATTCCATATTTTGACCCGTTAATATATTCAAATATTTTGAGTTCAATAGATAAAGTCACATCTGTGCTCTTTTATCGCATGTAACTTTACATTCGAAAAAAGTTCACGAGATAGTAGATTTTAAGGTAAAGCCGCAATTTCTAAACATACAAGAATTTTTTTCATCTACATCAATTCCAAATTTCAAATCAGATAAACAATGTGTTGGTGATAATTTCGAGTCACTTTATCTTGACGTTTAGACCAGCAGCATCCAAACGTAGATGTGGAAACCGGTCCATTGATTTTTTACTTTTATTCAAAGTACTGCCGTTACTATTTTAAACTCATAAGTATTTTCAACAATTAACGACTTTGAGCCCTCTTCTAATTTTATTGAGCATTTTCGAGAATTAACTGCTTTAGTGGCAGACAAAGTGAAGCGAAAATCATCTGCGCACAATTATGCTATTTGAACGTACGTTTTTAAAAAAGTTTAAAAAAGTTAATTCTAGTCGCATGCGCGTAAGCTTCAGTAAAAAATAATTAAAATTACTTACCCCACCGAGTGCTTTAACTTTTTCCTCCAAAGATTGTTGAAAAACATGATGCCTTAGATCGAAATAAAAGATCGTACCTCTTAACGGGTTCGGTCCCTGGTGGATTTTAATTGCTGTGAAAATGAAATTATTTTATGAAGGAAAAATGATTTGTTTTTAAAGCTTTATTGAATAAAAGGACATAATAAGGAAGTGACGAATCTTTTATTTTTTTTTTGAATGAATGGATAATTTCAAATGATCATTCCGATAGATACCCAGAACAAATAGATGGGTTGCAAGTGGTCATTTTGTCAAAAATTTATTGATTAAAAAGATCATTAAGATTGAAACATAAAACGAAAGAGTTACGTGTGATATTTGACGCACAGTTCGGTGTCGATGATTCAAGGCTTTCCAAATTTGCTCGTTTAGCCTTTGCACCTGAATGAGGCCTTTTTCGCGAGATTATGTTGTCTGGAGTTTTGTTTAGCTGTTGGTAGGCTAATTTTGATGGCGATATCATGCCTCTTGAATTGACTCGCAGCAAGCTATCTCACACCAGCGAGAAATACTGTGCTGCACATATATTTGTCACTCAAACATACACTCGTAGCACTGTAACACGAGCAGACAAGAAACTTTAGAGTTTTTCCTCGAAACAGAAAAAATTCTCTCATTGATAACTGCCATTCGATCGAAAAGGTTCACGCATTGTACACAAAATAATTCACTTCCAAATTATGCTCGAATGAAAAATTGAAACAAAAAACGTGTTCGAAGCACGACGATGTGTTGCGCGACTCTTGAGCGCGTTTTTTTCTAGCCTAAAAATTCTCGGCGAGAGTCTGACAGCAGCAGTGGTACGTTGGTCAGACCGCACAGTGTCGCGTGGGCCAATAATTACCACGATACGTAAGTGTATAGCGCGTCTTGTATACACGGAATATGATTTCTGCGTGCATAAGAATTTGAAAGCAACGTGGATTTTCGGTTTCTCGTTGGTTTACTGTTTTTGATGCGCAATGGACTACTGCGCAATGTTCGGGTCTAGATGGGGAGGGATTTGGGTAATGACGTACCATACTGGTTTGTGACGGGTAACTGACTTGATTCAAAATTTGAATTGTCGAATTAATTCTTTATGAGTAATAAAAAATTTCTTTCAAATAAAAAAAATAGTCTCAAATATATTTTTTTACTGCTTAAAATATTTTTAGGTATAAATTTTTAGTGGTACACAATTAGTTGACCTATTTTATTCATTGCAAAAATTCTAAATTACGATTTGCATAGCATGCTTTTAAAAAATTCATTTAAGAAAACTTAATTTTTATCTATAGTGAAAAACGAACATTTCGTTGCTAACGGATATTTTACATTACAAAAGCGTAGAATGCTGTAGATAGGTGTAGGTACAACTTATGATCCTATAGAGTCTTAGACCTAAGCCACTGTTCAGGTTCAATTTTCAATTAAGAAGCAAAATAATATCTTTACAGTTGGCAGCAATAGTATCCTACTGCTGCAAGTGCAGACTGCGGGCGGCTAAAGCTAGAGCTAAACGCGCGTAAATTCCGTTGCTGTCAAGTGAGTTTCTTTTTAAGGTCATAAAAATCGTCTGCTACAGAAAACTCGTAATTCGCTTCGATCTCTGCACGAGCCATCAGCCATGCAATCGTCTAGTGTCGCTCACGTCACTCGATCGTTTGTTTACGCATGTGAGTGATCTAAAGTAACGCGTGCTGTAATAAAAACTCGTTCGTATCACCTTGAGCTTGGAGCGCGCATATGATAAGTTATAGTTATTTCCTATCGATTTTATCCGTTTAAAAATCACTGTGAATATTTAATTAGGTAAGTAATCACATTTTAATCTTACTATAAATACTACCGCAAAATGTCAATAAAGCAAAATTGCAGAGTCATAATGCGAAGAGATTTTGAGGCGTCAGTTGGAAATGAATAATTTAATGCGAACATATGAAGCATTATTGTATATCATTTCATCATTTTAACTAGTAGCAACAGTTCACATAAGGCTTTTAAATCAGAGAATTCAGTTCCAGTATCAAACTTACTTCATTGTAAAAGGTAATTCAGTTGATAAGTTTTTCAACTTAGGAAGAAGAAATAATTCATACACTTGCATTAAAGTAATTTTTTTTCTTTTTAAAGAAGGAGCACAATGTTAGCTAGGCATATAAGAAGCTTTGGAGCTAGAACATGTGGTTATATAGTTTCAAGTAAAAGAATACAACAAAATACTTGTCGAAATAACTTTACTTCAGTACAAGTTGATGTGCCTTGGGGAAAAATTGATGGTAAAGTCATAAGTTTTTATTCATGTGTACAAAGTGTAGTATATTAATTTTTTATTTATTGATCACAGGAAAATTATGGGGTTCTGGTAACAAACAGCCTATTCTCGCAGTACACGGATGGATGGATAATGCTGGTAGCTTTGATCATATAGCTCCATTGATAGAAAATCATCCAATTTTGGCAATTGATTTACCTGGCCATGGTAAATCTAGTTGGCTCCCTCGTGGTATTCCATACGATGACAAAATTTATATGATAGCTCTTAGGACAATTATCAAAAAGTTTGGTTGGAGTAAAGTTAAATTATTGGGGCACTCAATGGGTGGAGTCATGTGTTTTAATTATTCGAGACTATTTCCAGAAGAAGTTCAATTTGTAGTAGCTCTAGATATTCTTGCTTTCTTAAGCATGAGTCAAGCACAGCAAACTCGACTATTGGCTTATGGAATAGATAAATTGATGGAATTTGAAAAAAAAATGACCAGCAAACCACCTACGTATACAGAAAATGAAATCATTGTTAATTGGATTAAGAAATCTCAATTTCAATCATTGGATGAACCTGCTGTAAGAAGTTTAATGAAAAGGGGGTGTGAAAAAACAGAAGAGGGCCAATTATTCTATACTCGTGATTTTCGTTTAAGTATACCTGGATTTGGCCCGACTTATTCACGAGAAAATTGTATGGAAATGGCTAAAAGTATTACGAGTCCTTATATGGTTGTTAGAGCAGCGGATGGTCCATTCACAAAAGATACATATTGGACAATAATAGGAGATGTTCTAAAAAAATCTAGTCAGGATTTCCAGTATGTGAAAGTTGAAGGTACTCATCATTTTCATATGACTAATGCCAAAGAGGTAGCTGCTGCAATAAATCCATTTTTAGATAAACATAATATTAGTTAGCCAATGGATACTTTTTTAATTGTAAAGTAATTTCCTCATATTAGTTGAAATATGTTATTATTTGTAATAAAATGATATGAAGTATTCAAAAACTATGAAAAAGTATTTGCTGAGAAACATTTTTAATAATTTTTAAATACATACCGGTATATTTGTAAAAAATACTGATGTATAAAAACAAAATATCCCAATAACATGATATTTTATCAATAAAACTTGAAGACACATAATTGATTTTACATTATGAAATTCTAATCTCTCCTCTTCATTATTGCAAATTTGTTATCTATTCTTATAAAATTAAATTTTTTTTATTTTAAAATTATGCAAAATAACAAGTTTTTTTTTAAATAAAGATAATTCTTTCATATTGTTGAAATAACGTTATAATACGAATGCAACAGCAAGTTAATAAAACATATACCTAAAAACAGATTAATCATTTTATACTAGTACATACCATTCTTTTTTTAATATTTAAATTAATCTATTGTTAAAAAGTTATTTATTTAAATAGATGTTCCTCGATTTCTTGCGTTCCAAAAGTTTAATCGTAAGTTTTTGCGAAGTCTGTTTGATCAAGCTGTGTATCAATGGGCATGTAACATACAGTAGAAAAAATATCGGACCTTACGACTTACAACGTTGATTAGTCAATAATATATCCTATATGAGTGAACAAAAATGTCTATAATGGCTATTTTTGAAATGTGTTTAAAATTGAAAACTGCTCCTTCGTCATGTAAGTCTGGTACAAAGTATATCGCAACGACTTTTCATAAATTCCCTTTCTTTCGATTTAACAAAGTTAAATAAAAAGAAAGCAAGAAATACCATGCAGCTTTTTAAAATTTGTTTATTTGCCACGTCACAAACCCTCAAACCCGACAAAAAAATAATATCGATGATAAAATTCAATCGTTAATGTTTTTCACATTTCTCAAGCGTTGATAAAATTTTAATGAAAAAGGTCTTTAAAGCGGTGTTCAAAATTGCTTCAAGAGTATCGTTTTTTAAAAGAAAACAAGATTTGCTAATTCATGCTGAATCTTCTTTAATGAACGTCAAGCAACTCTTCGCAATTTTTTCAGCAAGTTAACAATTTTTTGAAAGTAAATTTCAAAAATGAAATATTTATTGTTTTTTCGTGGCTCTTATTTTCCACATGAAAAACTATAGTCTTTCAGCAGTCATACACGTAGAAAAAGTTTGATAACATTACAAAGTAATATTAGGTGGCAGGAGCTAAATGGAATTCAAAATCATGTATCCAAGTGAAACTTTTTTCATGAGAAGCGGAAGAGATAGAGACGTTTGTATATGAGCATATAGTCCGTTTATTCTTGAAAGTACAAAAAAAGAAAGCTGAAATGGTCGTCCAGTCACCTTTGAACATCGTACAATAATATTATTACTACATCTCAATGCTATCTGAAGGAAGAAAAGATACAGCTGTATTGTGCAAGCTGAAACGGAATCGTAACTTTCACCAACGCGTAAGTCGAGCTGTTCAAAGGGAGTCGGTGGCCAAAGTACCACGATAGGTATTATTTGAACGCTGGTCGTTGGGGTCGTGAAACGAGCTTTTTGCGCAAGCTGCAAGAGTCGATTGTACGAAGCGCCGCAGCAGCTGCACATATTATATATATCGTGCTTAGTCGCTGGCAGCTCGCAGTGCAAACTGCAAGCGGCGCAGCATGGGCTCGCTTATACTTATTACGTCAACGCGCCAATCCTGCGGTCAGCACTGTCAGCAGCGATAAGTACGGTCCGCGCAGCGGTTCTGCTTCTGGCACTCTCGCAGACTCGGTACTCTTTAGTGGGCATTCGGAGCGCGCAGCGAGCACATCCACACGCTACACGCAGTAGTTGGCTTTCGACGACGACGCGCGGCTTCTTCGAGTGCTCGAGTTGGGGCGCTTATACTTATATAGAACGAGTCGTCATCGTTGCACTTGTCGTGTTGCTGCTGCTGCTGCATATTAAAAATCGTACGATACGTATGCACATAACGACGACAGTATCGCGTACAGTCGCAGTCGTGATCGTCTACTCCGCAGTAGTGACCTTTTACAATTTCGAGCCTACGACGTTTTGTGCGCGCGGTAGATCGAGCCAGTGACACACGACGAATAGGATATTAATTCACGCGAAATCAAAGTCATGTTTCGAACTCGTTGAAAAGTGAGCCAACGATTCGCCGTGCATCGATGTCGCAATTCCTATGAGATACAATTGTTAATGCGACAGAGCGCGAATTTATTTTTCTCGTCGTTCGTTTGGACTGGCTCTTGTCCTGATAAGTGCGCGGCTTTGCAGTCATAAGAAGAGGTTAAAAGCGCATAAAGATTAGAAGAAAATCTCGGGCATTATTCGCCGATAACAAGTCTACCCCGCAGCAAGTCTGATCTCTGCGCGCGTGTAAAACACGCGCACATCAGCCTCTTATCGTACCGACTGTCTGCAACTTGGAGCAGATAATAGACGTTGCGCGAATATTTTCACGTGGACAAACATTGTAATATCAGTCGAGGAGGTTCTTCGTACGAAGCGATAAAGTAGCCACTTTTCAAGAGCAACGTTTTTGTTTACAAACAAGCACTTGATCGAGTGCTGCAACACCTCATCTCGAGCAACGATCCGACGATTGGAAAATTTGAACTGCTGTGCTTGTTTTTACTAGAGCCGAGTGTATATGCTGTCTGCAACGATGTCTACCGAGAACACAGTGAACGATAGGCACTACTTGCCGCCCTCGTCCGACACCATACAGACCAAGCCATTTCCCATTCGAGGTGAGTACGTTTATCGAGTCGAGCTCGAGGCATCCTTGTCCAGCCTAGGCGTACTTTGAGCCTTTCAATGTCTTTCGTTCGAGTGGCTATTTGAGGTTAGAACTGATGATTAATCGCGCTTGTCACTCGTCGAGAGTCGGTCGTCTCGCTTATACGCGTAGCCGCTCGTTCTATTATATTATGCATTCACAGGCCAGTCGCTAGTCGCGAATCATCGCTTCTCGCTTGGCGCCTCGAATTATATACGGAGCCAGCAGGTGTGTAGGTAGCTCCGCACAGTGATGCACGCGCTGGCTAGGCAACACGCGGCGGCGCGCGACATGTCACACTCTTACCTATACCTGTGTATATAACAAACATAACAAACTCGAGAGAGAGTGTTAGGGAGAGAAAGCATTAGTTCGCCCATACCCTCTATTTGCTTTGAAAATTGGTCCAAATTCGTAGAATTATCATATACAATAGACCGTGCCGTTTTTGCAAAAAAATTTTGTATCCCCTGGGCTCATGGCTGAGCTGAGAGTTCAAGGTTTCAGATGAAAAAAGCCGGGCTGCAGAAGTCAAAAAAGTGACCGCAACCGGTGTCGATAGGCTTTTGAAGTTTAAAAACGTGCTTCGGAAGTTTAGCAAAATCGCTCGGAAAATGGCAATCTTTAATATGATGAACTTTCAACTCAGTCAATAGCCCAGGCGATACAAAAATTTTTTGCAAAAACGGCCCGGTCCAATATACAAGAGTACATGGAAATTTGCTCGATCTGGCCACTCGAAACGGATTTCTCGAAGTTTCGTTGCACAATCTGCTCGACGGCGATTGAATTGTATCGGGAAAGGCGCGCGTGCACTAATCCAACAGTCGAACTTGTATTGAGAAATTGCACGAACGAGATAACGATGCGCGCGCGACCTTTGCGTTGTCATAGTCATCGTCGCGCACAACAACATTTTTGCTACTTATACAAAAACTCGAGTCGATTGCCTGCTCGCGATGATAAATGCGCTTGTATTTTAAAACGCGATAAGCGACGAAATTCCTATTATACAACATTGTCTTGTCCACCTATTTGAAAGGCTCCATGTAACTGCAGCTGCTTTTTGCTCGATAATCGGCCGGGCTAAGCGAAAAAATCCTAATGCACGTTGACTCGCTTCAACGCAGAGGTCGACATTATCAACGACGAGTTAATAAGCGCACGCATAATTCAAGGATCCCTCGATTTCGCATTGAGCTCCGCGCCGATATTTACTGGCACTCGGGAGTGCCGTAAATTATTATCGCGCTGAATTAATCCGCTCGACTGCAAGTAGAGTTTCGAGTCTTGAAAGCGGCTCAATTTTGCGCACCTGCTTTTCGCGCGTCTGCGTTTGGCATTTGAAACTGTCGAGCTCGTCGGGGCCAAAAAATTGCGCTTCGGCCATTTCTAATGGAGGGGCGATCGGAGCTGCGAAATCAACAGGTGTCCGAGGTGATTCGTTCCAAAAGTTGCGATTTACCATCATCGTTTTAAATATCCATACGGTATCGTTTCTCCGCATGTCAGTTTTTATCCCGCGATTCACGCGCTGCAATTGCATATTAGACGAAGCGACGCGATTCACTTTATCCATCTGTCAGTGCAATACTTGTAAGCAAACGATCGTTCATTAGGCGCGTATGTAAGCTCGATTAACCTTGGCTTTGCATTATATAGACGTCTACACTGTGCAACTCGAGAAAACATAGAAACGGAATTGAAAAACAATCGTGAGCGGCGCTTGTGTACAAGCTGGCACGATTATCGATACTTTTTTTCGCTCAAATTTCCAATTAGCGTCGAGAGAGGGAGGGAGGGAAACCTATCTAAGTAACGAATTTTCCGTTGTTTGCTCATCTCCGCAGGCGAGCGTCAAAACACCGTGAACAAGAAGCATGTGATCGCCATGGTGGGTCTGCCGGCGCGCGGCAAGACCTACATCTCGAAGAAGCTCTGCCGCTACCTCAACTGGATCGGCATCAGCACGAAGGTCTTCAATCTCGGGGAGTATCGTCGGCACGCGACCACGGCCTACCAGTGCCACGACTTCTTCCGACCCGACAACACCGAGGCCATGGCCATCAGGACCCAGTGCGCCATGGACGCCCTCAAGGACGTCTGCAACTGGCTGGCCGACGAGGGCGACGTGGCCGTCTTCGACGCGACCAACTCCACCTTCGAGCGTCGACAGCTCATCAAGGAGATCGTCGTCGATCAGTACGATTACAAGCTCTTCTTCGTCGAGTCTATCTGCGACGATCCGGAAATCGTCGAGCAAAACATCATGGAGGTGAGGAACGCGAGCAATCAACGCTCCTTCTTTTATTTTTTTTCTCGCGATAAACTCGGACTCGGTTGCGTCAAAGTAGCTCTCGTCTGTCGAGATCGACGCACATGGCACATTGTATGTACGTACACACAATGTAGCAATGTGTATGTCGACTGTCGAGACGAGAGATGACCTAGGAATGCTGCCCGGATTACAGCCTTACGTCCCTCGGTAGAGACGGCCGCGTATCTGCATCCAATCACAAGTACACATCCAAGCTCTTATCGATTTCCAGGTGAAAGTCAGTAGTCCCGACTACACCAACATGAACAAAGAGGAGGTGCTGGCGGACTTTATGCTACGCATCGAGCATTACCAGGAAAAGTATCAGCCCCTCGACGAAAAGTACGAGCAGAATCTGTCCTTTATGAAAATCTACAACACCGGCGAGAAGGTCCTGGTGCACAAGCACGAGGGTCACATTCAGTCGCGCATCGTCTACTACCTCATGAACATACACATCGTACCGAGGACGATCTATTTGACTAGGCACGGAGAGAGCCTCATGAACATCGACGGCTGCATCGGTGGCGACTCATGCCTCAGCGATCGCGGCCACGAGTACGCCAAAGCTCTCGGCGACTACATCGAGGGACAAAACATTCAAGGCTTGAGGGTGTGGACCAGTTGGCTAAAGAGGACCAAAGAGACTGCCATTCACCTGAAAGCACCCCAAGAGAGGTGGAAAGCCCTCAATGAAATTGACGCCGTTAGTATTGCTATCCCCTCCTAGCGCGTTCCATCCCATCGATAATTACAACTAAACATTTTTTATTCATCTTTGTCTCTGTTTTAACAGGGTATCTGCGAAGAAATGACATACGAAGAGATATCAAAAAAGTATCCGGCCGATTTTCTTGCAAGGGACCAAAACAAATTTTCTTATCGCTACCCAAGAGGTGAAAGCTATGAGGATTTGGTTGCTCGCCTCGAGCCTGTCATTATGGAACTTGAACGTCAAGGAAACGTTTTAGTTATCAGTCATCAAGCAGTTCTACGCTGTTTACTCGCCTACTTCCTCGACAAAAATGCCGGTGAGAGATAAAATACCATTTTTTTTCACCCTTTTATTCCTTTTTATTTGCCTTGATTTTTCAATTATATTCACTGGAATGTATACTTCATTTTTTCTCATCTCAAACAAATCTAATTAACTTTACAACGCACAAAATAATTTCTATAGCTTATTAACATTATTTAATTTATAATTTAAACATTACAAAAGTATCCTGCTCGTGTAATTATTATTAAATTTCGCGATTTTGAACCAATATATTGACATCATTTCATAGATAGAATCATCGTGTTTGCAAAAAATGTTTTGATGAAAGATTAAAATAAAGTATACGGTCCTTATCCCAAACCCTTTCAAAAACGACGACAGAAGAAAATCCGTACTTGGCTCCATACCTACAACCGAATCCGACCTTTTTTGTTTCAGATGAGTTGCCATATCTGCAAGTGCCTCTACATACGATTATAAAATTGACACCAGTTGCTTACGGATGTAAAATGGAAAACATAACGTTGCCTATCGCTGCAGTGGATACCCATCGACCGAAACCAAAGGTAGAGAAAACTAATAAAGAGTAGTAGGATGAAATAGTTACTCATCAATGCAAACCTTAATTTTGTTCATTTTATTGGGTAGAATTTTGTTTTTTAAAGCAACTATGTTGTTAATGTTACATGTAATTTATACGTCACGTTTTAACTCGTAAAATTACACGCTTACATTTGACACCTCTTGCAATATCTGTATCCAGTCATTTGTTGCATTTTTACTGTTTATGTACCTGTAATGTCTTCACATCGTCATAGTGATACTTAAGTAGAATTTCTTCTTTTTTGTACCACAATTTTTATGTTAAAAAATTTAAATCATGATCCATTTAGAACTGCATGTTCAATTCACAAAATTTACCATTGTGACTAAAATTGTACCACTTCATATATGCTTTTGTAGATCATTTACAATTGTTATTATTTTTATATGTGTGTTTTTCACGTAGATTAGTTCGTACTTTAGAAAAATATATACTTATATAATTGAATAATGTAAATGCAAGGACAAGTGAAAAAGATATTCAATTATAACGGTGATGGAACAAACGTTACTCAAAGTTTTATAAAATAAATTAAGAAAATTGATATTGGTGTTAAGTTTTGAATGTTTAAAGCTTTTTTGTGCAATTCATTCACATGCATATTCGTCAATGTTACTTACAAAATTATAATATATTTTTACACGTTATACAATGATTTTCTAATAAAAATCTGTTTACATGTTTGTGTATAACAGTGAGAACCGAATAATACAGAGGCTTTTGGTACTTCAAGGTGACGATGTGAAATTATTGCATCGAACATTAAAACTTCCGAATGTATGTTTCGAATTTTTAATATTTTTTTTTTATGACATCTAGTTGTATCGTTGTTTATAAGTTATTTTTGTAAATCAAATATACATTTTTTAAGACTGAACAAATTTTCATAGGCTTTTCGATTTTTGTGCAATTGATAACTCTTATTTCTCTTGTCACTGCTGATTTTTTCATAAAAAATTATTCTATCTTTAATATTTGAGGAAAAAACGATTTTTTTATGATTTAGATAAATTTTATCTGAAATGTAAATTTACCACTTTATTATCTCATCGCAAATGTTTTTCTTTGGCCTCACCTTCGAGTTTTTGTCTATAAAAGCTATTAAAAATTCTGAAAAAGTAGGAGATTTAAATGTCTCTTGTTTAACTTAAATTATACTAGTTTTAGATTCCGTTAATTTTCACATATTTAAAGAGTTGTATAAACCTAAAAATTAAAAAAAATTGAATAAGCTTGCATATTTCCAAATTGCAAAAAATGTAATTTAACAATCCTGATTGCAAAAGATTAGCATGCGAATTACATATTATTTCGATATGCATATTTATATACGTGAAAAAATCGATTTTTCTGAAATGTTGAAGTGGATTGTCTCCTAACTTTACTTTTTCTCAGTAAATATATTTATAAATTACTAGTGCATTAAACAATTGTAATTTAACAATTAAAACACTATTAAATGAATACCTTCTCATTGTAATCCTACCATCCTTAACAATACTTTTTCGTTTTCGTCTTGTTTTTACAGATTGCAGGCTATCTCGAGGATCGTTTTAAGCAAAATAGCAAAACTCAATTAACACGATAACCGATGAAGTATGAAGTCAGTTTCTATGAACAGTTTGAGATGCTGAAAATGACACCAGACCACAAGATTCTGAAGAAATAAATTTTATTTGTGGAATTAAAGGAACGTTATATAACCATTTAGCAGCTGGCTGCTTTGTATGACCCTCTGCATAAGAGTATCAATCCTTTTTTAGGAGAAAAAATTATTATTGCAGTGGTTTTTTCGTCATTACCAAAATTAACGTCTCCGAAATTCATAATATCGTGAATAATTTAGCGAAATTGTATCTCATAATTTTTGTCCATTTAGATACAACTTTGTTACACGAATTCGCAAAATGCAGTAATGTTTGTACGAGGTAAAAGAGGTAAAACTGATGAAAATATTAGTAATTCCTGTTGGAAATCTTCCAAGGGTACATTTTTTCTTATGTGTATGTCCTGTTTGAGTGCGACTATTGTGATTTTTATTATCTTTAATATTCTTAATCGTAGTATACATAAATTAAATTACCTTGAAAAGTATAAAGAGCGTTTTTAAAAAAAATGCTAAGAATTTTCGTTTTTGTTTTTTTATAAAAAATAGAAAAATAGTAGAAAGTGTATTCAATTCCAAACTTGAGTCTGTTAATGTTGGAATAATTTCACCAGGTTTTATAATTATTTAATAATTATAATTTGAATAAAAACTATGTACGTGGGCCAAAAATCAACGTTTAAAGGACAATTAATTTAGTTATTTCATAAGACTAAATATAGTTTGTTTCTTTTTTTTTTGTATTTATGAAGAATATTTAAGTTTCAGGAAATTGATGTTTCTGGTATATTCAGTTTTTTATTTTTATTTTATGAAGATATTAGCTATTGCCAAAAAATTTATTGTTTGCTCATATATTACTGTGATTTCTGGTATTATTTAAACTTACCATTTCTTGTACAAACCAGAATATAAATACTTTAAAATTGAATTTTGCATGGCTGTAATAGTATTAATAGAATAAAAATAACTTCATTTGATTAAAAATGAATCTTAATTATTCATCTGAAACAGTATAATGAACAATAAACGCTCACTTAAATCTATTTTAGTAATTTTTCTTATTTTGTTGAGGCTTGATTTGATTTGCAGATCACACTGCTGTTCTTTTACATTTTTTTACAATTTCATTTTGAATCCTTTATTGACCTGTTATAGTATATATTGCAAAAAACATTTTTACAAAGATCAATCAAGTGAATGAGTGGTTTTTGAAGTGTTTACATGCCATAAAATGTGCGCAATGATATAAAAGTACCTTTAATATTTTGTTAAACATTTAGCAGTGTCTGTAAATAGTAAAATTAAATCAGTCCACAATTTTTCTTATTAATTAGCATAGCTTGGCTTTGAAGTAGATTGAATTGTATTTATTCATCATCACTTTGCCGTGGGTGTGACACTACGCGGGCCATCGCATTGCGACTGTGTATATATGCCCAGCTTATTTGTGATTCTACTTTTCTTTCGTTTTTCAGTAAATCTAAAATATTAAGTAAGCTGTCTATGGACAGCCATCAGAAGTGAAACTTCAAGCAAGTCAAAATGTGATTGTCAAAAGTAAATAAACCCAAAAACGTTTAAACGAATATTATTAATTCTAAAAAAGTCAAAACAAGTCAAAGGAATAAAAAAAATTAAAGTTCGAACTAGTCACAATGTAATTCAAAAAAATGGAAATTCGAAATCGAGAAAAGTTCATGAAAATTCCAAAATTAAAATTTAACCGAAGAAAAGGACTCTGAAGTTTCACTTCTGGTGCTAATTCATATACAATGCCTTCTAGAGAATCCAACCGCCAGAAGTACACTGAGTGTAGGAATCCTGTAGCAATTTTACGGATCCTACTTGGAATTTTTTGCAAGGCAAAAATAACTATATATTTCAAAGGGTTCTTAATTTGTCAAGATTTTTCCAATACAACGATTTGCGTAAAATGTTGGTAAGAAATGCAAGGGTGTTATGCCCTTATTTGAAAATGTGAATTTTCAAAGGGCCGGGCGAGTCGATGCGCATCGAATCGTTGTCGAAGCCGGTAAAACAACATTTCGTGGGATAGCCGTCGATAAAGGCGTGATCTGCGCACGGACAATCGCAACGTTAGATCACGCAGCGCAGCTCGGTGTAAAAATTCAGTCGCGAGGTCGTTCCCGCGGAGCTCGAGGTTGGGCTCGAAGCTGGCGCATGAGAAGCGAACTGGCCGTGGCCCCCCGACGCGAGCCGCATCTCGCACACATATGTAGTCTCGTGTCTCATCGTCGATTCTTTGGTGTAGGTATTGGTCGGTGGCTCAGAGGGAGCTGCTAGCATCATCCGATGTTTTGGTCGTTTGCTGCGGGATATTCTATGTATACTATATGCGCTATTGCTTTGTGTGCCAAGTCCGCGCGATATCTCGCGTGCGCGCATTTCTGTTACGCGCACGAGTGTGCGAGTCGAGCATCTATGTGTGTGTGTGTGCATGCAGTGCTGCAGCTCTCCCCACTCGAGTACGGCTGCGAGACGAACTGCTGCTGCTGCTGCTGGGCTGGTTGTGTTGGCGATTCTAGCTCTGCGCTCTGCTGCTGCTGCTGCTGTCTGACACAGAGAGTTTTGCCTGTGGCGCGCGGAGGTGCGACTGCGAGCCCGATCGAGCCACACACACACGCGCACCCATACACAGAGCAGCAGCACACATACACAGAGAGAAAAAGCTGTGCGACTTGCCAGAGAGTTGCGAGTTGCGACTGAGACTCGCGTGAATGTGTGCGAGTGTATATTCGCCATTTTAGTCGAGCATAATTCGTCGTTATAAAACGCGCTCCGTATCTACTGCGTCGCTCGGCTATACAATACCTACACGAATTCGCGTCGATCGTCTTCTAACGGGGCCAGCTTCAGCCGCTCTCCGTCCTTTTTTTGTGTTCTGCAGTACAGCCAGTGCTAATAACAGACAATCTTTGGTGCGCGACCGAGCGACTGCTGTCCCCTGCGAAACATTGCCCTGTGCGCTGGCTGCATACGTCCGATTATTCCATTATTATTCGATATCTCAACTTGTCCCGCGACTCTCCCTGTCAAGTGTCAAGTTTGTGTAGGTGTGTAGGTGTGTGTGTCTGTGTGCGGTGGCAAGTGCTGCGACGACGACGAAGCTTCGAGTGTTGTGATTAACACACACACCCACACACCCACGATACATCATTCGGACTGCAGCTGGCATTGATGACTGCTGCATCCACTGCGGTAGAAGCCCTGAGTATCCGATACTGGCTATATAATAGCTGCTGAGCAAAGAGCACAAGCGACACTTGGACCAGCTCTTCTTTTTGTGCATCGCTCCGATAGTGCAATAGTTTCGATAGTGATTGTGAGCTTGGCTATACGTGCAACCCTTGAAACTGCTATAACGAAGACGACGGAAAAAAGAAAGAGCAGCATCGATAACGACTGCTGCTGCTGCTGCTGCTGCTATACCATCAGAAAGAGAGAGAGAGAGAGCTGAGCTCTTAAAAAAACATCTACATCTCTCCGCAACTATATATAATACAAATCCTACTCGGGTCGTCTATTCTCCTATATAAAGTATAACCTCGTGCGCGTTGTCTGCTCCTGTTTTATTTGTGTATTATTATTCTTTCGTTTCTGTCTGCCTGCCTATCTGTATGTTGGCTGTGTATAGGCCGAGAACGAGACGTGGATACAGCTATACATAAGTGCAAGCAACCTTACATCTGTACGTGTACATAACGCGTACATATAAATATAGCATCAGCAACAGCAGATATCCAGAGCCATACACATACGTACTACAGGCGATAAAACGTGTATAGGTGTACATCAATCTTAATTCATCTAGCGAGTCAATAACTTGTTACTCGCATTGACACTCGTTGTCGTTATATGATACTTTCCATCGTACATGCAGCGAGCCTATATTGCTTGCGCCTACACGTATGAATAAGTGCAGATAATGGTATCCTTTACAATAATCGTCGCCACTGCTGCTACTCATTATTATCGTAGTTTCGCTTAATCAAGAAGACGTCAGTTAGTGTGCGTGTGTGCACATGTGTATATGTGCGCTGCGATTATCGTCGTTCACAGCAGTTCAGTCTCTGGCCACGCGCGAGTGTGCGTGATATATTGTGATCAGTGGTAGTATGTATACTCGTACATATACATATACGTGCAGCTCCGTCGACTCATTTTGTCGTCGTCGTCGTCTCTAAAGTCTCAGTGCGCGTATTGTGTGTGCCACAAGTCTAAATTGCCTCCGCAGCAGTGAGCAACGAAAGCGAACGCAGTGCCTCTGGCTCGAGTAGCTGAAAAATCGACGAGGAAAAATTTCTCTCCTCGTTGTCGCCAGCAAGGGCAAAAAAAGTGCAATAGCCAGAGAAAGAGAGAGGGAGAGAGAGAGAGAGAGAAAAAGTGACCGCGCGCGTGTGCATGTGTGTGCGTCGTGTGGCTCGGTGCAAAAATTGGCCCACGCGTGTCTTGTGAATTGTGAATGTGTAAGTGTGAGTCTGTCGGTGCGTCAGACGGTGCATCACAGCCGACGCCGCCTACTGCACTCTTGTCCTATGCAAAACTCCTCGCGAGTGAGAAAAGATGATGCTTAGCTCTTACTGCGACAACAACACGATCGAGCAGCCACAACAGCAACAGCAACAACAACAACAGCGAGGCATCAGCAGCCAAAGGCGGCAGCAGTACAACTACTACTTCGTTCTCTTACCTCTTTGAAATCTCTGACGTTGTATATCTACAAACGACGACAACGAGAGCGCTACTCTGAACTTCTCAACCGCTGCTGCTGCTGCTGTTGCTGCTGCTGCTGCTGCTGAAGGAAGGAAGGAAGCAAGTCGTATACAAAGCAGCTAAAAAGGACTCGCAGTGTCTCGAGGCAACGACAGCCAAGCGAGAGACAGAGAAAGAGACAGAGAAAGCGAGAGAAGCGGCTGCTGGCTAGTGATACACTGGTTCCTCCCCCTCCTAGCTACTGCTAGCATTGCTGTTGCACGGGAGAGAAGACGAAAAGCTTCTTTCTTACAAGCTAACCATGGGCTCGCGCGGCATCCCATCGGATAAGGTGAGTCGAGTTATTTTTTTTCGCCGCTGCTTCTCAGGCATACCGATTAGCTGCGCGAACGTACCGCAACCTATAACACAAGTATACACGCACTGCACGCGTTTACGTGGGCTGCAGACTTGACAGTGCCCCTACTTGAGTAGCATTTTAGTCTACTATAGGGCATTTATCTACTATTAGACTAGCGTAACCATTCGTGTTTATACGTAAACGTTTGCATCTCACGCGTATGACCTCCTTTTACCTTATGCCTACATGCAAAATAGGTTATATACTGCGGCGAATTGTTATATCGCACACATATATTTTATGTTTTCTAGTTCATTACTGAGACTAAAAACAATTACATTGATCTATAGATCGTTACTTGACGTAAACTCAAGCACATATAACCATTGTTTATTGGTTGCAAATATCAACTGCTCCTCTTCTAAGAACTATTTTCATTTACGTCTTTATACATCGCATAGGATAATGAACACGTGTAAAGCAAATAGACAAAATTCGATTCAATAATTGCACATTAAACTTTGCTTCAAATTGGTACAAGTGATAAATTTCTTCTTTTATTACTACTTTTTAATTGAATTCACTCCCAAGTTCCAGTCATGGATCCTGCTAAATGTGCTCAAGAAAAATGTCCAACCTGGGTCACTATTTTTTTCTTACTGTATTTAAAGAACTAAAGTTCAAGTGAGACAAAATGGTAAAATATCAAAGTGCTTAAGCAACTCGAATTTTATTCAATATATTGTATGATCATTTACGGTGCATCAATCGATAGCGCACATGTAAATATAGGCTGCATATGTAGGCGCACAAAAATTTTGAACCCAATGATAAAATGTCTCGAGCGCGCATACATCGTTCGTGCTTATAAAGGTCATTGAAAAATTAAAAAAATCAAAGCAAAAATAAAAAAAGACCGATTAGTTACGGTACCGTCAATTTTTTTTATCAACGATGTCAGCTTCAGTTCCACGCGGACACAAAGTAAGTGATACTCGCGTAAGATATAAATGACGGCAACATCTTAATTTTTCCATCATCACTCCATTTCCCAATCTAATCCGGAAATTCTCTGCTGGGATAAAATTACAGTACAAATATTAATATTAGCTAGAAAAAGTCGATAACGAGACATCATTCCTTTGAACTTGAGTAAATGAGGCCGATTTTTGAGATAAGGTCGATATAGAAAAAGAAAAGAACCTGATTCGAGCCTTTCCTCAACACAGATCTGTATATATGTAAATACGTGAATTCATATATTCACAAAGAGATAGACCAGCTGCAGTTTTGTAATAAATTTATTCGAGTATTGCATCTGTGAGTATGACGTTCAGCACACACACCCGCGCGCGCAACATACGCGTTATTCGAGATCGTATTTAGGTCATCAGCTGTTTCTCTCTTTTGTAGGATAGTTCAAGTATCATCAAGTAATTTAGATACGTCATTTTTATTCATTTACTTATATATTTTCGAATTTTAATTGAATACTATAATTTTTTGGTTCATAAAAATTAATTATAAAGAAATGAGAAAAAAGGCCTGATTGTTGTGGTCTTTTTGCCTCGTAGGACCATGCATCGATTGACGCTTAGTTAATTGGATTGATTAGTTTTTTTTAATACCTGAACGTACCAAGATTCGTTGGATCGCGTTGATTTAATCTCGTCAACACTCGTGGTATACTCTCTTGTGTACATTCATAATACGTCACAAGCTAACGCACAGTCCCTGGTTAAATAACTAGAGAGCTGCTATCGAGGTTCTTGAACTCTTCTTTGGTACTTGATTTTTCTCTGCTCGATTTTCTGTGTGTGTATGCGAGGTCTGTAACACTTGGATGGAAAAATTGCTTGAAAAATGAGCAATCACCGAAGGAGACAAGCTTTGCAACAATTATTAAATGTCTCACAGCAGTCGATTCGATAAGTGAGACGAGAATTTCATTCGTTGCATTTGAGCGCGCGCGCATGCGTTTATTAGCTGCCTGCAGACGATCCGCAAAAAACACTCATGTCAAAGGAATGTTTCCTCCTCGTTCTTTGATGTCTGCATGCAGCATGTAAACAGGCCGCATTAACTGCAGATACAAAAAATCTATACGCCCGATAAGTGCGGCCAATGTTGTTGCGAGTGCGCGTACGATATTCGCCCAACTCCCAATAATCGCGCAAGCCGTCCGTACACGCATGCAATAAGCGATTTGAAACGACTGTTGCGCTTTCTGTCTGCAAAGCTTTGTCAAAATATTTACTGCGATAATATTGAAATTTTTCGTGAACTTTCAAAGTGTTGAATTTGTCTGGTTTTGCGCGAAATTCAAAGAGGCTACTTTGTGCGCTACGGTTTTCATCTCTTACGACCGATTGCATTGCAAATGTACATCTGAGGCAACTTATCAGTTAGTCATTGCAAATCATAAACAAAATGCCGCGTGACAGGCTCGATAAACTCGCGCACTTCTTCGAACACGTCTGTGTTTCTGCACGAATATCGTCCAGTGTTATACACGCAGGTATCATCCACGTGAATGTATGTTACGCAGCGTCTCGAGTTACAATTTCGCACGAGCGTTTACCACCTGTTGTTGTCGTTGTCTTTGTCCTATAACGGAGTGTTATCTTCTTTGGTTGCACCATCTTTTTTTCTGTGTCAATAAAAAAAAAAGGAAAAGAAGGTACATAATTATAAGGACGAAAATTACTGGCTTCTATTGTCCCTTGCTTCGTTGAATTGTACATTTTGCTTCAGCTACACACTCATTTTTGGGTTTAGTATTGAAAAGGAAATTCGGTAAATATATTCCGTAAATAGTTGCAAAAATACAAAATTGACTCCTATCACGTTGACTGACACAGACCTTGCTAATTATTAAATTGCATTTGTTCGCATCGATGAGCAAAAAAATATGCTCGCAGCAGTTGTAATATTTCAATGTATTGGAGTTTAGTAGTGCTCGCTCTCGGCCATTTGGCTCCAATCACTGATAGCTAGGATAGGCCTAGAAGGTCGAAACTTTGCCATCGGATCGGATGTCACGTCTTGATGTGCAAATTACACCGAAGCGCTCGCGCCTAGCTACTCGTCGATTTTCGCTGACGATATCTTTTGAGTACGCGTGAATGCTCGCGCCGCACGAAAGAGTCACGCGGAATATTTTTGGGTTCGCAGCTGCTTTAACGAGCCGCCTGATGCACTTTGGCAACGCGCTCAATGTCTTGCGCAGTTTCTTTTTTTTCTCGACACTGTGGAATCAGACAAGAGGAAAATTTGGGCAAGGCTGGGACTGCTTGTTTAATATGCAGCCTCTCATACAAATAGCCACTTTGCCATTAAAGCTCGAGCTCGAGCGGGTGACTGTTTACCGAGCTTTCGACAACGCCAGAAAGTGGCTCGTCTCATCGCCTCGCAATTTTATGCGTGCCTGTTTTCGATCACTGTCGATTTCACTTGTTTAGCACACTCAGATGAGTTTTTAGTAGGTGCGACCAAAAATCTCTCTAAAATACACATCGAAAATTAACAAAAAGAAAGGGCACCAGTCGATTGGCCGACTTAAAGTCAAAATTATGCACCAAAAATATCTCTCGAATCGAATACTTCATTGGCTCGCATTGGTTCTCCGTAACCTTATTCTCAATGTACTCTGTATTGGACGTGTTAGTGACTTCGCAGTGTTTTTTCTCAAAGTTTCTTTCTTCCTGACAAGGCGAGCCGTGAATATCATTTTCTCTGCCATAAGGTAATAATCTGTCTCTGTACCTATGTTATAAGGCAGATGCAGACAAGCATGTCTTGCACGTACGAGCAGAGCAAGACAGAAGCTATTTTAAGAGTAAAGAGCAACAAAGTTACAAACTATAATGCCCATCTTTCTCCCACGCGTACTTTTTCCTTGCAACTTTTAACGTGAACTGCGTATCTTCTTCTTTTTCGGCTTCGTTTCTTATGCACATTGGCAAATTTGATGCTTTCTCACGCATACGCATTATATCTTTGGCCTCTAACACACCGCACTTGCTTACTCACACTTTCGCAAAGTGACGTCGGCAGGCGCTTCCCATTAAAATCAGCAGCAATTTGGCAAGCAAGTTTTTTCTCCTTTCTTAATTATAATGATTCAAAACCTAATGATTTGGACGAAAACGACTTGAAAGATGTTCCATTTTACCATTTTAATCGACTGCACTACACAACAGCTGCCGATCGTCGTTAAGAGATTGGTGTTCGAAAATGAGACAGTAATTATTATTACTTAATGCAAAGATGCTTTAATTTGATAATAACACCCACATCGGGCATAGATCCATTCAAGTATGTGACGCCTGATTCGTCAAAGTCTCAGGATAAGTATCATACATGCGGGGTGCTTCTCATCACTGCAGCACTTACTGCTGTGCACCTTAGCCTGTTTTGCGGTCGTGTACATGCATCAGCTCAATAATCTTCTTGGACCAATCGATAATTCATAATCACACTCGAAAACGTCTGTGCACCTGTTTTATTCGGTAGAACCACGGCAAGGATAAAAATATAAGCACCCGAAATATGTATCACTACCGAAACAAATAATTGAACATCGATCAAGGCTTCTCTTCTTTATTTGCATAATAGTTGGTGCTTGGTGTAATGCTTTCTCTCCCTTTTTTTTATTATACACATTGACAGCATCGGTGATGATAACAGCTCAACGGCATATTGTTGCAACGCTGCACGATGATGATCAAGTATGCACGCAGTGAAGCGCAGCTTTGTACGCACTTGCTGTTTTCCATTCTTTATTTCTTTGAATTCACTTGTGCTTCATTGCTTAGCTTCTCGAGTGTCGAACATATGCATGTCCTGTTATTCCTACAGACACTAAAATCTAATAACTGTCGATTATGCATCTTTCGAGACAGATTTTACATGCAGTTTTCGTTTTTTGTCTCAACATTGACTTATTTGTTTTTTTCCTTATCGACAAATAATATTTTCAATCGAAAAGG